AAAAAAGAAAGTGGTAAAATCACATCTCCCCTCTCTGCACAGATGTTTTGATGGTGCTGACTACTGCTGGTACTAACTACCACTGGTACTAACCACTGCTGGTATGAACTATTGCTGGTACTGACTGCTGCTCTGCTATTGAGGTTATGTCAGCTGTCTTGCCCTGCATGATGGTTTGACCACAATGATGATGCTCATTTCAGACAGGCTGTCTATGAGGCCCTGAGAATGGAGAAGCCACTGATGGAGATAGAAGATGGTGCAAGTCAAGGGTCCAGTCAGAATGATGACATATATGATGACATTATTGACTACAGTCATGAGGAAGTGGAGAAGGTAAGTTGCCTTATCATAGGTGGTGCATTCACTTGTGTTTTTTATACCTATCAGGCATGTGCCATGGTGGGCTTTGAGACTTTGGGGAAAATTGGTTCAGTCAAAGTTTTAAGTGTACTTTACTGGGAACCTGGTTGTTTTTGTCAAGCATTTCAGAGTTAAGTGTGTGTGAGACATACTTTTTGCAAACCAGCTGATGATAAAATTTTTTACATAAATGATTACAGACAAGAGTGCGGCTTGGTGAACTATATTGGCAGTTCTGAATGTCAGATTCTTAAAAACCAGGTATTTTCAAGGTGAATAATATTGTCTTAAGACAAGTAGTTGTCTGCACACATACCTGCAGTATGCTGTTTTTTTCTGTTCAGCATGGGTACAAACCTGCTAGGTCTACTACAGAAGACCAGGAGCTGGCTGGCTGATGGCCCCACTTATGGCTGGCCTGTAGATCCAATCAGCTGGCCTGTAAATCCAATTAGCTGGCCTGTAAATCCAATCAGCTGGCCTGAAGATCTAATCAGCTGGTCTGTAGATCCAATCAACTGGCCTGCAGATCCAATCAGCTAGTCTGCAGTTCCAATCAGCTGGCCTTTCTAAGAGAATGTCTGTTGCCTGGCAGCTGGTGTACACGTGCCGCCGTCTGCAGGAGGAGAACATTGAGCTGCTCCATACAGTCAGCCAGCTGCGTGGCCAGCTGCTGGAACAGCAGAAGGCCCGCCAGGTGAGAATGCATGGTGGTCCAGGGATTCAAAACTGGGCAGTAGTGGCATGTGAGGTGTACTGCCTGTGGGTTGTCAGCTGATGCTTGGTGGTCCCGCGGCGGCATTGTGTTGTATGACCAAGGTCCTGGATTAAAGTGCTTCTGTTTTTTAGTGACAAACCATCCTCTCCCCCATCCCATCCTCCCATCTCATTCTCCCATCCACCCATCCTGCCCTCCCATCCTGTCCTCCCATTCCCTCCCATCCACCCATCCTGCCCTCCCATCCTGTCCTCCCATTCCTTCCCATCCTGTCCTCCCATTCCCTCCCATCCTGTCCCACCACCCTGTCACCCCATCCCGTCCCATCCGGTCCCGTCCCATATGTCACTGCTGCAGATTGTAGTTGAACCCTGTGCATGCTGATGGTTTAATGTAAGATTCTACCGAGAGGCCACCTCTGGTCTGATTTCGCTCCTGCCATTGCTCTCATGGGTTAGACCCCCAGTGGTTTTGATGGGCCTCCACTTATGAGTAGTTTTTTATTCGGGCCCTGGGGTACATCGACAGTAGCAGTTATGTTTTGCCCGCCACTTGTGGGTAGAAATGCTGATGGCCAGGATTTCAGAAGCATCAGTTCTACAGTACGGTGCTAATTCGAGTATACTTATATGCTGAGGAAGAAATGTGATGTAGAAATAAACAATAGAAGTTTTTGCAATACAAAATAGGCTATGAAGAAGTAGGAATGGCTTTAAGTTTTAAGTAGATGTGTTGCAACTATAGCTTGATGCTCGCGTTAGAGCCTGAACATAAGTAATGCATTATAAAAGGACTGTATACGTTTTTGCAGTAATAGTAACGACGGGGATAAGTTTTTGAAGCATAAGTATCGTTGTATGGCACCAATGTCGTTTATAGGTATTGACAGTAGAAGTACTGTCATAGCACTATGGTCGGTGGACGTTTTACTATAGTACTTATGTCATGTAACCTGTAGCAGCGACCGCAGTTAGGAGAGTTCATGCCCTATTTTCAATGCTTGCGGTGCCGTGTGTTTGGTTTACACGTTTGGATTCAAATTAAATTTGTCCTATTGTTGATCCAGTTCTTATTTTCACGATTCAAAAACAGAAGTAACAGACAGGATTATTAAATTGCAGAATTAAATTACAGAGTTATTAAATAAACAGAAATTAGCTAGCAGGAATTATCTAAATCAAGGATTAAGTTGAATCGCCTTTGAACAAGTATCTCTGATGGAAGTAATGTTTCTGTATCGACGTTTTCGTGTTCACAATTGATTTTAATGACGCTGAGATGGGCGGAGCGCCGGCGTGCTCGGCCGCTGGCGGTTTGTGCCCGCCTGGCGGCCGGGCGTGGACTGACGTCAGTCGCTGCCACAGCTGCTGCGGAGGAACTTCAGCTCCCTGCTGCTGACGGCCCGCGCCGAGATCGACCGCAAGGACGTCCGGCTGGCCGAGCTGCAGCGCAGGTGAGAGGCGCTGGACTGGCTCCGCTGCCGTGTGGACAGGCTCCGGTGCCGTGTGGACAGGCGCCGGTGCCGTGTGGACAGCCTCCGTTGGTGGTGGACAGTCTCCATCGGTGGTGGACAGTCTCCGTTGGCGGTGGACAGTCTGTTGGCGTGTTTGCGATCTCCTTCGGTGGTGGGCAGTCTCCGTTGGTGGTGGACAGTCTCCGTTGGCGGTGAACAGCCTGTTGGCGTGTGTGCAATCTCCGTTGGTGGTGGATAGTCTCCGTTGGCGTGCGTGCTATCTCCGTTGGTGGTGGACAGTCTCTTTTGGCGGTGGACAGCCTCCACTGGTGGTTAACAGTCTCCATCGGTGGTGGACAGGCTCCGGTGCCCTGTGGACAGTCTACGTTGGTGGCGAACAGTCTCCGTTGGTGGTGGACAGTCTCCGTTGGCGTGTGTGCAGTCTCCGTTGGCGGTGGACAGTCTCTGTTGACGTGTGTGCAATTTCTGTTGGTGGTGGTCAGTCTCCATTGGTGATGGACAGTCTCCGCTGGTGGTTAACAGTCTCCATCGGTGGTGGAAAGTCTCCGTTGGCGGTGGACAGTCTGTTGTGTGTGCGATCTCCTTTGGTGATGGACAGTCTCCGTTGGTGGTGGACAGTCTCCGCTGGCGTGTGTGCGGTCTCTGTTGGCGTGTGTGCAGTCTGTTGGCGTGCGTGCAGTCTCCCTTGACGTGTGTGCAGTCTCCCTTGACGTGTGTGCAATCTCCGCTGGCGTGTGTGCAACCTCCTCCGGTGTGTGTGCAACCTCCTCCGGTGGGTGTGCAGCCTCCTCCGGTGGGTGTGCAGCCTCCTCCGGTGGGTGTGCAACCTCCTCTGGTGGGTGTGCAACCTCCGCTGGCGTGTGTGCAGCCTCCTCCGGTGGGTGTGCAGCCTCCTCCGGTGGGTGTGCAGCCTCCTCCGGTGGGTGTGCAGCCTCCTCCGGTGGGTGTGCAGCCTCCTCCGGTGGGTGTGCCGGCGGCTGGTGTCAGTCCGTCCGTCTGCGGGTTTGCAGTGTTGACGGGCGGCGGCTGCGCCGGTCGGACCGGGCCGAGCAGGGCGCGCCGCCGGAGCGGCCGGCCGACGCGCGCCGCCGATCGTCGCCAGCCCAGCGCAGCCGCTCGACCCCGCGCCGCCGACACCAGCGCCGACACTCGGATGTCATCGCCTCGCTGGACAAGGTCGGGCAAATGGGACGCCTGCCACGTTTGTGGCAGGCACGCATGCGCATTCTTTGGCTGGATCAAGGCAAATTGAAACACATCCGGTGTCAGTCTGCCTGGTCATCTGTGAGTCTCCCAGTGGTGGTGACGTTAGGAGCCGTACAGTCCGATGATATGGCCGCTGGTTAATGTCGCGTCTCCTAATGGTGATAAGGATAGGTCTTTGCGGTCCGGCCCGACACATGTCTATATTTGGCTTCGAAGGTTTGGCGAGGCTCTCACGGCCGCCGGCTCCCCCAACGTCCCAGTCCTGGGCGGGGTCAGGTCGCTGGACCGTTTCAGTTCCGGGTGGGGGCTAGGTTACTGAAGCCTTCCAGTCCCGAACGGGGGTCAGGTCTCTGGACAATTTCAGTCGCGAGCAAGCGTCAGGTCGCTAGACCATGGCCAAAGGTGGATACCACGTTATTTGAGCTGCTTGCTGTCGCTGCTTACGTACAACAACAAAGGAAATTGAGATGTTTTGTATGCCTGAGTTCCTTGCTATGTGCCACTGTATTGCACGACACAGCGTGGTAGGCTATTTCCTCTGTCATGTGTTTTACGCACGCGGCAGTACAACATAAACAGCCGGATGGACTAAGCCGGACATCCAGTCCCCGCGCTCAGGTCCAGTCGCCCGCCAGTGACCTCTGGTGGCCTCTCTTCCAGACGAACGCCACAGTCCGTGTGGCGAACTCGTCGCTGAGCCTGGTGACGGACCAGATCTCATGGGAGCGGCAGCGGACTGTGACGCTGGTGCTGCCGGCGGCGGAGCGAGCGCGCCACCACCGGGGCGCGACGGTCCGACCGTCAGCAGCGGTCAAATCAGAGGACGGGTGCGCTGAAGCCGTCACTGGTGGACACGCCCCGCCGCCGGGTCCGGCCGTCGGTGATGGACACGCCCCGCCGCCGGGTCCGGCCGTCACTGGTGGACACGCCCCGCCGCCGGGTCCAGCCGTCAGTGATGGACACGCCTCGCCGCCGGATCCGGGCGTTAGTGAACGCGCTAAAGTGTCTCCGGCAGCTGCGGATAGGGCGTCAGCGTCCCCATCACCAGCGTGTTTGCTGAGCAATGAGCAAGAGAAGCAAGAGTCGCAACCTCGTGCTCGGAAACGTCGAACACGCGCGTCCTCTTCGGACGATCGACGCACCGCCAACTCGCATTCCGCTGATCTCGCCTTCGCGCATGCCTCCTTACTAGCCAATCAGCATCCGTCGGCGATCTCCTCGGCCAATCCACGAACGCTGTCGTCTGACACAGCCAATGAGGAAGCGTCAAATCCGCCTTCCAATGACTGCGGCATGGAAACTTCAACCACCAATGGGCAGGCAGCGGACCTGCTGCCCGGTGGAGGGCCAGGTGAGGACTATACCGCCGGGCAGGCGGTACAGTCCTCACCTGTCGTGTCCTCACCGTCGGCCCAGCGCAGCGGGCCGAGCAAGGCGGCCGGACCGCGCGCGCCACCTGCCGGGCGGGCTGCGCCGGCCGGCGCGGCGCGCCCCGGTCGGCTCCCGTCAGCGGCCAGCAGGAGCCGCGCGGCCAGCGGCGCCCGCGCGCCGCCCGCCAAACGCGCCCGCGCGGCTGCCGGCCGCGGCGACCTCGTGTTCGACGTGCAGTTCGGCGTGGAGACAGCGGCGGCGTCAGGAGCTCGGGCCGAGGCCCTGCCGGCGCCCGGCGCCGTCCCCGTGCGCGCCGGCCGGCACGCGCCTCCCCAGCTGCCGACTGAGGCAGCTGGCGAGTACAGGCCGTCCTCTGCGGGGTGCGCACCAGACCGTGCAACAACTCCCCCGCCGGCTACTGCAGACAACAGACCGCCGTCTACCGGCGACCGGCTTACCTTTCCGGAGGGTAAACCAGTCTCCGCAGAACATGGACCATCGTCTATATGCGAGACGCCATCCACTCTAGACGACAGAGGAATCGCAGCAGATGTTAAGCCATCCTGTACAGGTGGCATGCCATTCTCAACGCGTGGTGGACGATCGCCTGCAGATGCCGACCGTGTGGCCGCGGATGATGGAGCGGCGTCTAGCGAGGGGAGACCTTCCGTCTCCCGTGATGGGCCGTCCAGCACAGGCGGCAGGCTTCACTCTTCACTGCGCCCTGGGAGACAGTATCCGTACGCACCGGAGTCCGGGTGGTCACCCTCCTCTACACCGGGGCCCGGGCGGTCGCCCTCCTCATGTCGGTCGACCGGGCCAGCCGTGCCCGGCGGTGCGCCGTCGTCATCAGGCACGTCGCGCGGGGGCCTCTCTCCGCCGCTGCCCTCCACGGGCGGGCCCTTTCCGCCCGCCAAGGCCCCGTCACCGGGGAGGCCGGCGCCTCTGTCGTCAGATTGTGGGCCGGCGGCTGCGGACTGCGGCTCTGGCGTGCTGGTGACGAGCGCAGCGCCGACGCCGGTCACTGCGAAACGCCCTGCTGACCGGACGGCCAGTCCCGCGGGACCTGCTGACCGGACGGCCAGTCCTGCGGAACTTGCTGACGGGACAGCTCAGTCCTGCGGAACCTGCTGACCGGATGGCCAGTCCTGCGGAACCTGCTGACCGGACGGCCAGTCCTGCGGAACCTGCTGACCGGACGGCCAGTCCTGCGAGACCTGCTGACCGGACGGCCAGTCCTGCGAGACCTGCTGACCGGACGGTCAGTCCTGCGGAACCTGCTGACCGGACGGCCAGTCCTGCGAGACCTGCTGACCGGACGGCCAGTCCTGCGAGACCTGCTGACCGGACGGCCAGTCCTGCGAGACCTGCTGACCGGACGGTCAGTCCTGCGGAACCTGCTGACCGGACGGCCAGTCCTGCGGGACCTGCTGACCGGACGGCCAGTCCTGCGGAACCTGCTGACCAGACGGCCAGTCCTGTAGGACTTGCTGACCGGACGGCCAGTCCTGCGGGACCTGCTGAGCGGGCAGGCGACTCCACCACACCGATATGACGGGGCCGCCGCCGGCGATACCGACAAAGGCGCTGGCGGCGAGGACGACGGGGAAGGAAGCGAGAGCGACTTCGAGCTGAACGTGGAGCTGTCGGAGGAGGAACTCGACTATGAGCCGATGGAGTGGCCAGGCGGAGGGGCGGCGGCGCCCGGAGCCGGCCTGCCGGTCTCAAGCGACGACGACTCGGACGGCAGCCGCGGACCTGGGCGGCGGCCCCCGGCCGGCGCGGCCACGGCGCCGGCCACAGGCTCGCCAGCGGCAGCGCAGCAGCGCGGAAGGCCAATCTGCGGATGGGACAGTGCAGCGACGGGTGCGCAGGAGGAGGCGGAGGAGGGCGAGATCGCGGACTCGCCGCCGCCGTCGCCGGCCGGTGTGCGACGCCGCAGCCCCGCCCGGCGCGCCGGGTCGCCGTCAGGGGCCGCCGTCCGACCCTCGGGCGGCACCTGCCGCCGGCCGGCAGCGCGAGCGAGGCTCGGCCGCCGGCGCGCCGCCGGCCGCGGCTCCGACTCAGAGCGGGACTGCCCACCGCCGGAGGGAGGCGGCTGGAGCCGGCGGCTGCAGCGCTGGGCTGGCGACCGGCGGCACCGGCAACCTCAGCCGCCGTCACCGCCGCTCACCGGCCGCCGGACGCCCGCCGCCAGCCGCCAGCGGCAGAGCAGGCGCCGCTCCTCACCCGAGAGCGCGAGCAGACGCAGGCACTTTCCGGAGAGGGAGAGGTCTGATCGAGCCTCCCGGTATTCTGAGGAAGATCACGAGCAATCCCCGCGGCTGGAGAGGAGACGTCGAGGCCATGCTCAACATGATACCAGCAATGAAAATTGGCCCAATGCGGACGAAAGGCATAGA